TCATAATGTGACCAAGATGCCAAGGCACTAGACAGTCAGAGGCAAAAGCAATGTTACCTGCTCTCTTCAGAATAAGTTCTTCCCTTGGTCATTGTGACACAAAGTGTTTTGTGCCTCTATTTTTGTTACAAGGAATACAAAGCCTTTTCTGCCTTTCCTTTCATTGACATGTGTCAGCTTTGACACGTGGATAAAGGAAGTTGATAAAGATTAGTGAACTATCTGCTGATGTCCTCCTCTCACCACACCAATGACAGTAGCTTGTAAGAGATCATCTGGCCCAGGACTTCTCTGTGTTCCCCTGTTCATGGAGGGAGCTGGGAGGAGGCATGGGAGGATGCAGCCATTTGAACTACTGTTAGACAGCAGAGGGAGGACTGGGATTTCAAAAGTTATTGGTGAAGTAGGGAAACAGGGGATGAGGGAACAGTTGCTGTCAGATTTTCTTCTGTTTAAACACTGCTTTCTCTGTGTATTTTTCATGATAGCGATTATTTCAGCTTCTACATGACTAATCCTTATGCATGTACGACAGGTCTACGCAATGTTACCAAGGCTGATTCTGTGCAGCTGAGGTATCCTGAGGGTAGATATGACTCTTTGGAGTCTTAGGAAAGCAAAGGGTATGCACCTTTGAGGATAACTGTGGAAGAAGATGTGATTTGTTCTTTGCAACGAGGAATCCATTCCATAGAGTGCTAAAAATCTAAGTACAGAGGGAACATAAATATCAAAGTAACCACACTCAGAATGTTATGAAGAAAGATGGTAACTATGGTTTGCGTGTTCCAAGCTGGGAGAAATAAATCACACTGGACAATATGGCACATGCTGAACAAGAACATAGAATTCTCGCTCGAAGGAATCTTAGTGCTACAAGTTAATCATACTTTTATTAGCATGCCCTGAAGGTTTTGGGGATATAAATTTTGCAAAATAACAGCTGGATTGTAGAAATAGGCCACTGAATTAAGAAACAAATCACACAAACGTGAAAACACAAAGCTCTGTATCAGCTTTGTGTAGCCAAGAAAAGTACACCTGCTTCCTGCTAAGAGGCATGCTTGAATACTCAAGAGTGGCTAACGAGGGGGAAGCAGTGGGTGAAGATGTTGACGTTAGAATTAAAGCTGTGTCAATCTGACCCTGAGACAGTATTGAGTGAGAACTTGTGCGTTTTCCCATTTGTTTTGAAAGTCTACCTCATAGTCAGGATCATTGGCTTTGCCAGGCTGTTGTGAATTCCATGTGTGATGCAACAAGAACACTTCAACCAAGAAGAGAGGTGCAGAAATTAGTTTTTCCTTTTTGCTGGGAGACATCTGGTCGCCATTAAAGTACCCTTTGCAAGAGGCAGTTAACTCCCGGGGAAATCACACCTCTGTGAGTTTTAAGTAAAGAGCCTATCTTGTAAAACCCCATAGGACAATACTAAAAGTGTCAAGGCTGAGTTTCGTTGATGGAGGATTCATCAGCAACAATTGGAAATGGAGGTACTCAGAGTGCGTCTTGTTTTCCTCTTTTATTTTCTGCAGAACCAGGAATAGTTCAGCTGAAAATTGTCAGTGATGCAGCTTTTTCTTCTTTCCAGAACAATCCATAAAGTAGAAAAGATAGTCAGAAAAAGAGAAACAAGTTTGTGTGCTTCATGGGATGTAACTGGTGTGTCTTTCACCTTTCTCCTCTTTGCATTACAATTTTTTCAGTATTTCCTAGTCTTCAAAGGAGAGCCAGTGAGTCTTAACAGTAATTGAAAATATACCCATGTACTTAGAGACCTAACTAAGAATCTAGGAAAAGAAGTTTATCTTCAAAGTTGAGTACTAATTTTTTTTCTAAATATTAATCAAAGATCCAACCTATTTGTAATAGATAATTCCTTCAAATACTGCAAAAGGCTCATCAAATATTGAAGCACAATATGTTTTAAAGTTATTATTTTGGTGAAGAGTACTCCTGAGAAAACTAAGGGAGAGTTAAAGAATAAAATGAAGCTAAAATGGGTACAAAACTCATGTTGTCAGAATACATGTTGGATTATTAAAGCTTAATGCATGCTTTGAAATGTATTTTTTACATTACAACGTTACAGTTGGCTTATATAAAACACGTGGCAATACTCTGATTTTACATTAGTCAGCTCAAGGTAAGGAACTATGTGCCCACATTTTCCGTTCACATATGCAAAATTCAGCTAATCTCTCTTAGTGCATAAACTGCATTCAGTTGTTTTAGAGAGTGTGGATTGGTGAGCCAGAGCCCCTTCAGCTACCACTCAGTATGTAACTTCTCTTGTCCATGATAGATCACAGAATCACAGAATGGTTTGTGTTGGGAGATTTTCCATTATTTAACTACGACTGGAATTTGCGGAAATTGATATTAGCGTTGCAACTGTGGTAAATTCAGAAGCTATGTATGATATGTATATGTTTGCTTTCTAGTAATAGTTCTGCTCTTAATTGCTATCTCAGGTGGAAAAATGGCAGGTAAAATTCAGTGCTGCTAATTGCAAAGTTGCAAACACAGGTAGACCTGAGGAGGGGCTCCAGATTAGCTGGAACCACTCCCAGATTTGTATCAGACAGCTCTTTAAAACTAGTGCAGTGTAAAGCTCAGCAGCAGTTGTAAATGAAATAGAATCATAGATGGAGTTGGGAATGGAGAAGAAAGAGGCAACATTACTGTGCAGTGTGAAAATCTATTGCATACCCACGTATTGGTGACTACATGCAGTTTTGTTATCTTCTCTTCAGATCAGAATTAGAAGAGGGACGAACACCTCAAGGTACAATGTTTATCAAGTATAGAGTGCGTCTTTTGGACAGGGGAAATGAAACAGACTTCAGTTCCTCACTTTGAAGCAGAGGTGCCAAGTCTCCTGGTCTTACGTCAGCTGGTGATTCAGGCTTGTAATGTGAGGTTCATCGGCCTGACCCTTGAGAAGTGTTACTGTGTGCAAGCAGATTCTGTCTTTGCAAAACCATCACTGATGTGATTTGGCTTCCAAGTATACACAAATAAGCCTTATTAAATCTCTCTTAACTTTTAGTATCTGTCAGACAAATTCTTGTTCTGCATGCATCTCCTTTACACGAGAAATGAGGTATTCATGCTCTGTGTTCATTTACATTTAAGCCATAAGTGATGCCCAATAACCTTGAAGCATTTGGCTTAGACAAGATTTACTGAGTTCTCTAAGTAGAATTTTGTGGCCATATAGTCAAGAAGATACTAACAGAAGACACTAGAAGTACATTGTGAAAGTTATTGAGTGCTAGTCTTTGTTTCTTTCCCCATATGCACACTACTTTCTACATCTTAGAATGGGTAATTTACCCTGAGAGTCCTATCTAAATAAATAAATATTCAGCAGCATACCATTTATTTTAACCACAATACCAGAATTTATAAGCAAAATGCTTTTATACACTATGGGTAGCATTAACATGGAGATGGAAGGGAAATGTGAATAAATTGTAATTCACAGCCCAAAACATCACATCACAGTTGCCTAGCTCAAAAAGTTTGTTTAGCATACCTTCCCCATTAAGATATTAATAAAAATATATGCAAAGAATCCACTGACAGTGTAGATTCCATATCCCCAAGCGCTCTGATTTTAGGTGTAGGTCAGAAGAGGTTTTACAAGCACTGAACAGTGTGGAGTTACATAAATACAATTTTGTTAAGGAAGAAGAATTTGAAATTGCAACCCTAAATCCACAGACTTTTTGTATATTTCTTTCTGAAATGTGCTGTAGTAAACGGTGCTTGTTTACGCATAAAGACTGTTAGCTTTACTCTGTCTGCCTTTCTGTTAGATAAATCTGAAGGGGAATAGCAGGAGTCCCTCCGCAAGTTTTTATGATCAAACACCATTATGAGTCTAACTCTGTTTAAAAAAATAGTAAATCAATTCACAATTCACAAATAATTGCTTTTATTTAGGAGAAAACACCTTAAAACATTGAAATTTCTGTGAGTTCCTGCGATATTTTATGGTCTCTTTTTAAATGGAAATGTGAGCATGGCAGAATCTGAGAACATCGTGCTTGTGTACCTAAAAATTGCTGTGTCTAATAACATAACACCAAACATCTTTTTTACAGAACAGGCAGGAAAAGTGACAATCCTTATACAGCTTCCACCCAAATGTCAAATACAATTCTGTTTTCACAAACTTGTCAGCATTTGTTCAATTCCAACGTGTTATTTATTGGTTTGACTCCTTTATCTTTTCCTCAAGATTGCATTTGTAATAAGTTTTGAAAGATTTTCATGAGGACATGTTAAAATGACTCAGGAATGTTCCAGGTGGTTTGGAAGAAGAAATGATGTTGAAGTGGAAGCTAGAGGATAGCACGTTCTATTTAACATGCACAACAGGAGTTTTAAGAGGATGATCTCAGTGTCCTGTCTTTCGAAGTTGGTTATGAATCTTCAACAAATGCTCTTTTATAGAATGGAGAGCTTAAATGCTGTGTTGTCTTTGGGACCTGAGTGAGACGTTACTCACAACAGTGTTTTGGGACTATGCTGGCTTTTCACTTCTGATTTATGCATTTCTGATTTTCCTCTCAATGTGAATAATTAATGCCGGTGTGATTGGGGCTTATTTTTTATGATGTTTTTTTGAACTGAGATGAGAAATTCTTACGTGTATTTGAAAATATTGTCTGAGGACTTCTTGAGTGATTCTGAGATGGTTGGGTAACACTTTACCAAGTTGTAGGCACTGCACAGAACTGACTGTCGGTGTACAGATGTTTTTATACTCTTGAGATTTTTTCCCTTTTTTGTCTGTGGCAATACCCTTTGCTGCCAAGCTGTTAGAAAGCGTGGCTAAAAAGGCTGAAGCACAGTTAGGCAATTTCCCTTTGCTAATCAATACAATTTTCCTGTGAAGCTTCATCTGACTTTGTAATCAACAGGTGTAACATTAAAGCATGAGTCTTGTTACCAAATCACAGATCTTTTTCTCTTGTTTTCCTTGACAGAATCATGAATAAACTGGCAGACCAGCAGGACCACATGATACCATGAAGAGAAGCTTACAGGTCCTCTATTGCCAACTGTTTAGTAAGTAAAAAAAAATATATATATATATATGTATATTTATTTATTTATAAGAAACCAATCATTCAGATTTTTAAATAAGAAAGTATTATTTATGGCACACACAATTCAGAAAGGTACATTACCGTGTGCCTTGTACCTGGAGGAACCATCAGGAAGCTAAATTTTCTTGTTTACTGAGATATTTGGAGATGTATTAAAATAGAAATTGTAGTGGCAGGTGATTTTGCAGAGTGTATTGCAAAGGTAAGTGCGATCTGCTGTGCCTTGAGACTGTGAACACTCAGAAGAATGAGAAGTAGGAGCACAGGATGGTGATTGGAAGAATTATGTGGCAACCTTGTTGTAATCATAGCTTTTGTATACATAGTTCTCTATGGAAAAATGGGGTCCATCTGACCAACCATCCGGTGGTGATCTTTCAAAGAGATCTAAGAGTGAGTGAATGGAGCCCTGGGCTCACATAGTCATAAATGCTGTGTCAGTTCCTGAGATGACTTCTTGTTCTAATTTTTAGAAGAGTTCATGTAGCATGAAGGTCCATTGGAAATACTTTAAAAGAGATGACATTTATATTGTGCAGATAAAGGCTGTCTCTCCTATCCAGAGGCACAAAGCAAGATTTTAAGTGTTAGGCAGTAACTGTTAGGACATTTCTGTAGGTGGACAACTTTCAGTGTCAACATCATAAGCAATAGCATTTTGTACAAAATTTTAGAGGATAGATAAAGTGAGAAAAGACAAAATATAAGTGTAATCATTTCATCAGTATGCTTTGTGAAGGAAATTGCTACTTTACAGGAAGAATTGTAAACAGTTTTTTCTATGCTGTCCTTTCAGTTCAGCAGAACTTGTGACTTCAGTGTATGTCTCTTATTAACATTCTTTACAGATTTCTCTTATTCTGTTCCAAGCAAAACAGAAACCAGAAAAACATGTTTTGTATATAGGATGAACAATGAAAGAAATAGTGCTTTTAAGGCTATGTATGACAATTAATCAAACAGGTAGACTTTTTTTTGTAGACTTTTACAGGATTGCAGTTAATGTCATACATTTGTTTTACTCACTGCTGTTAGGGTATGAAGTGAGAGAATTGTTTTGCTAGTTTGGCTTCTTTTGCAGTTCTAATCCTGTGATGCAGGAAATAATCAGTTGCTTTCATGACATTGAAAGGGAGACTCCAGAGGTGCACCCGAGATCATTCTGCTCTAATAAACATACTCCATATTAAACCTATTGTAGTATTGGGTCTTTCTGAGTTTGCTTGCCTTTGGGATTTTTTAATATCATGCTTCCCTGTTTGATGGCATTGCCCATTGCTACCCCTGCTGCTTTAAACTGTATTTTCAGGGTAATAAATTGAAGATATTGTCATAAAACTGAGGAATGCTTAGAATGAAGAAGGGAAGACTGAGCAAACTAAATATAAATGATTTTGATCACGATATAGTGAACTCTGTGACTTAATTTGAAAGGAAGGATTATTTCCATTAAATGGATAGATAGATAGATAGATAGATAGATAGATAGATAAACAAGTTGCACTTTTTCTCTGAGTGCAGCAAATATGTGTGCTAAGTGTAGCTGTCATAAACAGATGTAACAGTTATAGCTTTGTAGCCTATATTTTAGGCATTTGAAATGAGTTTCCTCTCTGTCTGATTCATTTATTTGTTAGTAGGTTGATTTGTAAGAAGCCTGTGGCAAGTTCCACCAAGATGATTAATTCTTATTAAATTGTTTTTTTTTTCTTAGTTGCCCTGTAGGTGTGTGATTTAAGCTAACTTTTTCCCCAGTTACACCACAATACTTAAAAACAATCTCAAGGGTGTGCATTTTGCAGCAAAAGAAATATTTCCTGTAACGTGTATTTATGCTAAATGAAGCACCTGCAGCATGGTCTTTCATGACATTTCATGACTATTTTATCTGCACAAAAGAGGGAAAGATTGCTATTACTGCATAGCTATGCAGAAGGGGGAAAAAGAACCACCTCTGAAAAAGGGTCAAAAGATCGTGTTTTACCTTGACCTAATACACTGATGTCCTGTGCCTTCCTTCTTCATCTCCAACTACAAGTGGATCTGTGATGCTGACTCTGATACTGTGTTTTCATTTTGTCTGGAATGGTGTGAGCAACTAATTGAGACGTAGGCTTATAGAGAGACATGCATGATGCATGTATTCTTACACATCATAAACTGGGATGGCTTGAATAAAGTGTTGGTGGGTTTTGTACAAACAGTGATCAGCTGCAGAGGCAAAACTGAGCTGTGTGGGAAGAAGTAGTTTCATCCCCAAAATAGTGCAATGCTATGAGACTTGCCACATGTGTGTTGAGTCCCAGCTGTGCCATTGGGCCAGTAGTGGCTATGCCACTGTGTATGTGGCTATGCCTTCTATGTATTCATTTCCACCTCTGTTCATTTGTACTGTATTCAGCTGTGTGTCTATACACTGAGACAGTGGGACTCTCATATGCATGAGGACTGTTAAGCTTTGGAGCTCAGAGAGATGATTTACTTGATTTATAGACCAGTAGGAGATGTTAGCTGTATTTTTTAAAAATCAGGCCCATATGTAAATAAGATTTGAAGTCACTAAATGTAGCATCCATCCTTTTAGTGAATTCTGGATGACTTATGTAATCAGTCTACTGCCATCCATATTCCCCTGCTGCGCTTTCCAAAAAGAGCATTTTCTATCCATTTAATGCTGATCAAGAATAGTATGTGAAAATGGCACTAGCAGCAGCTGCTCTTCTGAATATAGTTATGGCTGGCTTGAATCTGATCCCAGTTGTCAAGAGATAGACTTTGTGAAAATGGCAGTGCTGCATTTGGCCCAGGACATGGGCTCTGGGCAATGCTGCATTACACCTCGTCATTCATTATTTATGAATCAGTAATTAAACATGTGATAGAAATGGAAGGAAGTGTTGCTTTCGGACTGTATCTTCAAAGATACTCTTTAGTCTGAGATCTCTGAGATATTTAAAAATAAATAAATAAATGAAAAGATTAAACCAAAAATTTTGGAAGAGGTTTCTTAGTGAGAGCTCTTTGAAGTCAGTAGCTAGATTGAGTTGATGAGGACCAATTAAAGCAAAACATGTGTCCACAATTTGCTGCCATTTGTTCTAGGCACATCTTTATGGATGAAGTTGGTTGCCTCTATAATGATGAAGATGCAAATGCCTTTCCCATGAGGCTGAGCGATCTCCATTTTTTATAAAGACCTAATGTGATGATTTAAGCCCTACAGCATGAGCCACAATATGTCTGCAATTTCTGTAATAAAAAATGCACATTATAATTTGCCACGCATGCAGTGTTCACGGAGATGATCCAAGTTGCATGTAAACTAGGGAAAATGTGGAAGAAGGTAACTGGTGAAGCCCCTGGCACACACACTGTGTGTGAGACTTTCTTCTTCAGACATTTGTTTTCCCAAGAAATGGAAGGACTTTTATTTTCTATTTACTTACAGCACTAATGTCTGTATGAGGACCTGTCACCATAGCATCTGGAAATAGATGCCAGCCTGAGTGTTTCTTCATGCCATTATCACTTCGAGCCTTCCCAAGCATCACTCTTTCATCACCGAGGCCTGGCACAGTGCCCAGCAATATCAATAGAGCGAGCCGCCTGTGTGCAGACTCACAACTCTCGGTAGCAAGCTGAGCAAAAATGGCAGTGAGTGGCTGTGCCTTGTAACACAGGCTGTCACAAACCCTGCATCACTTTGCTGTACATGCAGCTTGCCTTCCTCCCTCGTACCCGGCAGCCTGGCTGCCGTTCTGTTAAATCTCTTGCAGGGGAGTTCACCCCACAGGAAGGGTTTGCACAAAGGCTGACTCCAGTCCAGGGGTACTGATATTTGAGAAGCTATATGAGTGTGTTAAATTCATGTGGAAACCAACACCCAATTCACCGTGCCTTCTGAGAGGTGCTGGGCACTATTGTCCCCCAGTGACAATTGCCTCTTACAGGAACCAAGATCATCACTCCTGTTCTGTTGATGAGCAGTGTCTGTGAATAACTGTGTGGCTTTAATAAGATGGCACACACTGATGCTTGTAAGCAAGTGGGGAGGCATGGTAACAGCACAAAAAAAGACTGTGGCCAGAAGCCAGGGAATAACCTTTTCTATGCCTATAGTAGGGAAGACATGAAGAAATGGATTTATAAAGCGGCAGGGAACTTAGCATTAGACATCAGGCCAAAGTGCTGCAGCAGGTAGGACACTGAGGGGCTGGAGCAGGATGATCAGGAGGGTGTTAGAGGCTCTGCTGACAAAGCACTGGTGGAAAAACACGTCTCTCAGGGGAGACAGGGGTTATCTAGATGATTTGAAAAGCTCCCATCATCCTTTGACCCTGTGACCACATGATATTCTAGGTTGTGTCCTCAGTGCAAATGAGCCTGCTTGCTTCGGCAGAGCTCTCTCAGTTTGCACAAGCCATGTATAATTAATCTGTGTGATAGGAACATATGGCTGACGTATGCTTAAAGATACTGGGGATCACCTGATGCAGACTGGGAGAGAATCTCTTTCTATCATTCATGGGGATTTGCAGAGAAAAAAGAAAATAGAATTTTGTAGTGCACTGCTAGACTGGTAGGTGATAGCTTAAGCAAAGAGAACAGTGGGGGAGTGGTTATCTAGCAAGAGAGTCCATCTGTTTTGCTTAGAAATTAGAAAGGTAAACAGCCTCTGGGTATGCAGTGTTTTGTGTACAAAGCTTTTTGGGATGCTCACTGGTGTGCAGGATTTCTATCTGTGAGTCACATGGCTTGGTAACAGGCTGCCCATCGGTAGCACACAGCAAGCAGTACATCCACAGTTCTTTGCCTGCTGTTCAATTAAAGGTTGTTGCTTCTGTTCCTTAACAAAACTTTGCCTTCTTGAAAGAAGCTGCTGCTTTCCATTTCCTTTCTGAAATCCTTTCCTGGGAAACAGACCTTTTCAAGAGAACTTTAAATGCAAACCAACACACC